AAACGATAAGGTGGAAGGGGTGGGAGGTAGGGAGTAGAAACGTGCGAGAATTTATTTTTCTACAGACTTTTCACGTGTTTTCTCTCTCTCTCTCTCTCTCGTTATAATTGTTATTTCGGGTTCCCTCGAGATTTTTTTTTTAAAGTTAATTATTGGTATCTTTTATTGTTGGCAAATTTTTGTGAGATCTTTACGAAAAGAGTTTTTGTTATGCAAAAATCATTGTTTATAAAAAATTTTAACAAACGTTAAAACAATAATAATAATAATAATAATAATAGTAAAGCGTCGTTGCGCAATTTAAATTTTCTTCGCTTTTTTCGCCACTTTTTGTAATATATTTTAAGCGCCAGAAAAGAAAAAATTATTTAATTTATTGCAAAAAATAATAATAATAATAATAGTTTTTTAATTGGTTACAATTAGTTACGTGCGTATACGGAGGATTTTTTTTTTTTTTTTATTAACGTAATTAATCATTGGTCGATTTGTTCATAATATTTATCACGTGACCGTCGAAAATCGCTTTTCTTTGATATTTTCTCGGTTGATTTAAAAAAAAAAAAAAAAATTTTATTCCGGGAATTTTATTTATCCCTTCGTTTAGACATTTATCCAGGTTTTTGTGTGAAAAATTTTAGGAACGATACCTGAATACTTTCGTTTACCCCCCCACAAAGTCAGCATACATTTTAGTTAGGTTCTTTCGTCGTCGACATCATGGAATCCGATACGGGAAAAAATAAAAACGCGATGATGATGATGATGACGAGTATTATTAAAATCAAGGCCAAGGTAAAAATACAAATCGGGGACGATTGGGGAGGAGGGAAGGGATTGGGGGAAGGGAAGGGAGAGTAGAAAGGTGAGGGAAAGGTAATGGAAAGTTTGTATAAGTAGAAATCGTAAGTAGTATAACTCTTATCGATATCTACCCAAAAAAAAAATGAAAGTAGCAGTTTTAAACAATTTGAAAAGTAGTGGTAGTAATAGTATTAGGTAGTAGTAGTAGTAGGAGGAGTAGGAGGTTTTTAATGGGTAGTATAGTAAGTAGTTTTCGCGCGGAAAAATTACATTTAAAAAATTTTATGTGTTGGTATTGGGTTAACGATATCGACGGTTTTTCCGTGAAAAAAAAAAAGAAAATGGCGGGGATATTTTCCTTGCTCTTTCGCATCAATGCCGATTGTTTGTTGTTTGTTGTTGATTTTTGTAGATTTCAAAGACGCGCTAAAAAAAAAAAATGATGGCCATAATAATAATAATAAACTAATATTTATTTTTATTCTTTGACTAGTAAAAAAAAAGACTTAGACTTAGGCGTATGACCCCCTTTTTTTGGATCGTGTCTATTCGAAAATGAAAAGTTACAGGGGGAGCCCCTTTTTTTGTGGGATTCGTCTCCCATTCCAAAAGGAAAAAAAATTTTTTCTAGAAGGTTTATTATCATTGGGCTAGATATTTCAGGTACATGACGTTTAAGAAAAATTCGCGCCCCCCCCCATCAAAATCCAACGATAATAATGACGTTTTTCACGTGACCGTTAAGCTCTTTTTCTATAATTATTCGTTAAACTTTTCTCCCCGAAAAAAACAAAAAACCGCACATACATATATTTACCTTTGTTTCCTTTGAATCATTGGTATTGTATTTCGTACCTGTATATTTAAATCGCCAAGGAATGTGCAAGAGTAAAAAAACATCATTTTAATGACCCTGTAAATAATAATGTTCGTTATGTTTAACTTACGTATCGAAAAGTTTTCTACCAACAACATCGCCGACAATTTTTTTTTTTTTTTTTCTCTTAATCCAGTATTAAACTTAACCGAGTTGTTTCCACCATGGAGTGTCACTGGCTGGCAGGCACCGTCAGTTAGGTACGGATATCGGAGTTATCAACAACAACTTTAATTATTTTTTTATTTAGAAAATCGCAACAACAACAAACAAAAATTTTTTTTTTTTTTTTCGTTAATAAAATTTAAATATAAAATAGTATTATTAACATTGGATTATTGTGATTGTTATTCCGCGTGTTTGAATTGTTTAAAAGTAAATTTTTACGTGTTTTTATTCATTATTATTATTATTATTATTATTATTATTATTATTATTATTATTATTATTATTATCATCATCATTATTATTATTTTTTGACGTTACGCCGGATTCGTTATTGTTGTGATTCGTTTTGTGCAATTTTGCAAAGTTTTTCGTTTTTTTTTTTTGTTTTTTTCTTTGTAATTTAATTCTAAACGTTTTTATTATTATTATTATCATTATTATTATCATTATTATTATTATTATTATTATTATTATTATTATTATTATTATTGTTTTAAATTTGATTCAAAGAAACGTTAAAAAAATTATTATTATTATTATTATTATTATTACATGTAAATTTAAAAACGTTGATGCGTGGGCACAAGAGAAGAAAAATTCGTTAAAATAACGAGTTTTTTTTTTTTTTTCGTTTGTCTTCTGCCCCGATAAAATAAGAGTGACCGATCAATGACTTCTCATATTCTTTTTTTTTTCGTTTCGATTCGAGATGATGCGAGCGGTTTTGTTTAGTTTTTTTACTGTAACTGGAAAAAAAAAAGAAAAAAATTCAACGGGAATTTTTTTTTTTTCAAAAGTTGTCGACGTTGTTTTTTTTTTTTTTTTTCATTCGTATTCAAGTTACACGACGATAATTGGAATAATATTTACAATAAAATATAACGAAAAGTAATGACGTAGTAGTTGTCAGTTTAAAAAAAAAAAAAAAAATTGCTTTAAAAGTAGTTGTGGTAGAAAAATATATATTATTATTTAACTTTTACAACTCGTTCGTTTTAAGTAGGTTAGTTGTAATGAAAATAATTTTTTTATAACAAAATGTTTTATTAAGGATAAAAACTCGAAAAAAATTATAAAAACAATTTTTTTTTTTTTTTTTGACGGTTGTCGTGGCAGGAAACAAATTAAGAGAAAAAAAAATTTTAAAATTTTCGTCGTTTGTTTTTATTTAATTTAAAAAAAAAAAAAAAAAAATCCGTGATTTAAGTTTACGTATTTTTTTTTAACGAACATGACGAGTCGAAACGAACGGTTAGCTTCCCCTCACCTCCCCTACCTCCCATACCGCCTCCCCCCAAAAAAACGTTGCTAGGTTGATTGCAATACAAAGTGAAAGGAAAAATTAATTAATTAATTGTGTCATTACTTCCTGCGACGACAAGTGTCGTCGCGAACGAGAGGGGAGAAAGGAGAGGAAGAGGGGGAGAAGGGGACAAGGGAGAGAAGAGGGAAGTGAGAGAAAATCCCGGTAAAATTTAAACGACATTTTAATGTTTTTAAAAATGATAATAATAATAATAATAATCAAGGGTAAAAAACGTTCAGAAAAATAATTACTAATAATAATAATAATAATGGTTTGCCTTGCTGGTTAAACCTTTCAAATCGAACTTGTTTGATGACGGGGAAAGAAGAAAAAAAATTTTAACGTGTCACCAGAACCGTTTTTTTTATTATTATTATTACTATTAACGCAACGGTGTTATTTTTTTTTTTAACTTTTTTTTACTGTTACTTTTACTGTTTTTTTTTTTTTAATTTTTATTTTATTGCCGCGTATTGTGTGCGTGTGTGTGCGTGCGTGCGTGTGCGTAGGCCTTGTGTGATTATATATATATATTTATTTAGTAGCGTAAATGACACGTCAAACACGTTTTTTTTTTTTTTTCTGTAATTGTCGAATTAATTAATATATATGGTTTTTAAATTTCTTCCTGATACGGCACTGATTAAAATTATGTCATGAAATCAATTATCTCGTTATTAACAATTTTTTTTTCTTTTTTTTTCCTTCCGCCCGTTAAGAAAACAATAGAAATTAATTTTGTAGTAAAAGTAGTAGTAGTATTTGTTAGGAAATAGGAAAAAATTAGGAAAATGAGGAAAATTATTTTTGTTTACTTCCGGTATGACGATTTATTTGTATTTGGAAAATTCCTCAGCATGCATACACACATAAACACGCAATATTTATTTACAATTAAAGTCCCGACAATTTTAAAGTAGACATTGTTGATTCAAATTAAAAAAAAAAATATTTGACAATATTATTATTATTATTATTATTATTTATTTCCGGTTTTCGTGACTCATTATTGTATTATTGTTCGTAAAAAAAAAAAAAAGAAAAAAAATTTTCCTTTTTTCCGACATTTGTTTTTGCGAGTTTTTGGTGACTTTTTCGTCTGTTGTTTTTTTTTTAATATCATCTGGATAAAAAGTTTTTTTTGTTTTCAAAAGTTGGACACGTTGATTTTCGTAAATTTGAATTTCCCTCCTTCCTCCCCCTCCCCGTCTTATTACCCCAACTCGTTCAGCATGAATGAATTCATTTTCAATATTTAATTTACCACCCCCAACATAAAAATCATCATCATTATCATCATCTTCGTAAAACGAGTTCGATACTTGAATACTTTCGAATATGCGAATAATAATAATAATAATAATAATAATAATAATAATAATAATAATAATAATAATAATAATAATAATAATAATAATAATAATAACGCCGGCGTTCTTCCATTTTTTTTTTTTTTTTGCTTTCACTCGTCATCATCAATTCGACTTTCATTGCATGAAAATCCAAGAACAAAACAAAATCATTATTATTATTATTATAAATAAAAGACGAAGAATGGATTGCCATTAGGTTGTTTCGAATTAGAATTTTTTATAATAATAATAATAATAATAATATTTCTATTTATTCCAGACCTCTAATAACAAATTGAAAAACTAATTCGATTGTTAGTTTTTTTTATTATAAAAGTGTACGCGTTAAAAAACTAAAAAACTAAATTAATTATGCCATAAAAAAGTATTACGAGTTAATTAATTAATAAAAAGTGTTTTTTTTTTTTTTTATAATTTTAATAACGTAAATAATTAGTTTTTTCCATTGACATTTTGATTAAAAAAAAGGAAAATGCAAGGGAACAAAGGAAAATTTTCAAAATTTTACAGTTCTTTTTTAAGAAAGTGGTGTAAGTATATTATATATATTTATTTTTCTAAAGATTTGTGTGTCACGATGTTTTCTTTTTTTTTTTTTTTTTTTTAATTACTCTATGATAATTTCGTAAGGCGTACGAATTGTTTTGTTGTTGTAATCGACAAGGCGGTGAGAAAGTTGAAGTGTCAAGGGAAATTTTGCAAATGGGAAAAATAAATATTATTATTATTGCTTTAAAAAAAAAAAAAAAACGTTACAACGCTCGTTTTGTTTAGTATTATTTATTATTATTATTATTATTATTATTATTATTATTATTATTATTATTATTAGTTAATTTTTGTTAATCAAACATAATAATAATGATATTGACGATATTAGTTTAAGAAGAAAAAAAAAATAAATCGTTGGGGGGGGGGTAAAAATCGTTACGAGTTTTTTACTTCCGCTTTCGATGTTTACACACTCTATGATTTTTAATTTTTCGCTACCGACTTTGCGCGCGTAAATTTAAAATTTAAATTATTATGATGTCTTAACGTAATTGCGTGTAAAGGTGATAGAGTGAGAAAGAGAGAGAGAGGGGGGGGAGGGAAGGATTTTCCAAGAATAAAATAATAATAATTATTATTATTAGTATTTTTAAAAATTAATTAATTACTCGTAAATGTGATGTGATTGATGTGATGATGGAAAAAAAGGCTTTCGAGGTACGATGACGAGGGTTTAGTAAGTAAATCAGGTTCGTCCCAGTTCGAAATTTTCGCGGAATTTTCTCCCGGTAATAAGTCACGCGTTTAAAATTCACGCCCATTCGCGACGACGATATCAAATCGATAGTCATAACAAATAAGTTGAAAAAGGTATTCCAGGTAGGCGAGGGATTCGTTTACAAGGTTTATCTTATCGAAAAAAAAAAAAAAATGGCGTAAGTGTAAAAAGTAGTGCGAATAATTGTCTCGTAGTAGGTATGATAGAAATCTATCTAGGATATGAGGATATTTTCTTATCGGAAAAGTAAATCAATGTCAAATGTGACAGTGGAGGGGGGGGCAGTCATAAAAAAAAATTTCACTCTTTGAGAACTTTGACGTGAAAATGAACCTAGACCAAAGGTTTCCGCCGCCATTTTTTTTTTTTTAACCTTAATTATTTAACGGTTAGAATCGAGGGGGGAAAAAAAAAATTGACATTCGTGACGAAAAACGACCGTTAAATATTTTTTGTGCGAGTTTAAATTTTGAATTTTTTTTTAATTTTAATTTTAATTTTCTGGGGAAATGGGGGGGGGGGGGTTAAACCGACGATTAAGGCGACCCAGACGGTGACGAATAAAATTTTTTTTTTTTTTTAACAAATGAGTTAACCAATTATAAAATGCCTGAAAGGAAATTTTTGTAAATTTTATTTTTATTTTATTTACAAACAATGCCACGTCGTCGTCGTTACCGGATATTCCGTTTAAAAAAAAATGTTGCCAACATTTCAAAAAATAAATAAATTTATTACCAAATTTATAAAATTTGGAATTTTAAAAAATTTTAATTGGATATGTTAACGAATCAAAATTTTGTTACGCCCTTAAAAATGTATTTTTTTTTATTTTCGACTCATGCAAACCTAAAAAAAAATTTATTACAGGTTTTATTATTATTATTTTTTTTGTCAGTGTTGCGACAGGTACGTGGTTCTTTCTTCTCTCTCTCTCTCTCTCTCGCTTTTATTTCGTGTAAGAAAATTTTGACGTTGACGAACTTGCAAAACTTTTGCTTCTTCTTGGATATTAATTGCACCCTTGAATTGTCAGGTATCGTATTTGCACTGAGGCGACCTATCATTTCCCTTGTTTAAAATATTTATTCAAAGATACTCGTGTACCTTGAAAGAAGGATCGTGTATATAGGTGTACCACGGACATTTTTTCTTTTTTTTTTTTTTAATAAGGTACTATCATTATTATTATTTATAAAGTCGAACCATTTAATTTTAATTACATTAATCACGGCAGGCATTACAAAGAATATGGAAAACTCGTATTAATAATTCGAGTATCGAGGCATTGCCCGGAAGTTTACTCATATTTCTAAGAAAATTCGTGACGTAATAGAGGGATTCGATAAACCTGAAATCATTATTATTATTATCATCATTTAAAATTGGATCTAATTAAAAAATTTTTTTTTCTATTCCCTAACCTTTAGGGATACTAATTAAAACGTATAAAAATTAATTTTTTTTTTGACGTCATAAAGTTGCCAACATTGAAAAATTAAAAATAAAAAAAAAATCGTAGAGTCGATATAGATTTTTTTTTTTTTTTAAATGGCGTCCGTCAGGTGAAAATTTTATTAAAGGGAAAAACGTCGTCAATGTCACTCTGTTCGAATGATTTTTCCGCAAAAGTTTTCCGCCATTTTTTTTTTTTTATATCGATTGCATTGACGATTGCAAATGATAATATTTTCATTCAGGATTACCAACGTGATATTATTCAAATTGGTTTTTGGTTGGGTTCGAATATTGATATCCGCCATTTTCTTTTTCGTTAGAAGCAAGTTTAAGATACTCGTTGAGGTAATTTTTTTATTACTATTAAAAAAATTCTCGTTTCGCGTTATTTATAAAAAAAATATTCGTTTTTAATATTCATTGAGCGTAAAACTGGCTTTTTTTTTATTCAATTTAATTTTGTACAGTTCAATGAATTCGTGTCGTTAAAAAATATGCCTGATTATCTTTTCTTTCGGTTTTGAAAAAGAGAGAGAAAGAGAAAGAGAGGGAAAGAGAAAGAGAGAGAGAGAGAGAGAGAGAAAGAGAGAGAGAAAGAGAGAAAGAGAGAAAGAGAGAGAGAGAGAGAGTGAGTGAGTGTGTGAAAGAAATGGAAAATATTTAGTAAATTACATTACAAACGTTGTAAAACGGTAAATTCAAAATTTGTTCGCGTTTTATTTTCTATTATCATTATTATTAAAATAAAGCCATCGCCGACCGCCGGGGCACCAGAATAAACTTATAGAGAAAGCGGGTTAAATTTAAAAGTTTTAAAAACACAAAATTTGTTTTTTATCTCATCGTTCGCGTATCAAAATCATTTTAAAAAACAATAATAATAATAATACAAGAGGATGTTACGTCATTTTAATAAAAAAAAAAATAGATTATTAATTAAATTTCTGGTTCGATAATATTTCGATTATCGACTTCTTCCTAGTGCCACGTCAAATTCGTCTACACGTTTAAATTCATTAGAAATTTTTATTTTATTTTTTTTTCGAAGAATAAAATTTTTCTGTGCGTTCGAATTCGATAGAAAAATATTTGGGAGCATCGTTGTTTACACGTCAATTAAAATTACTGTTCTACTGCCACGTTTTTTTTTTTTTTTAGATCGGATTGATCGAGCGCTTACTGATATTCCTTAATATCCTTAATAATTCCTTAATATTTTTTTTTTTTTTTTGAAAGTAAAAAGAAAGTGATTTCTTGCCATTTGAATGAAAAACCCTTGAAAAATATATTATTATTATTATTTTTCTAACTCGGATAATATCGATCGATAATTTTTCGATAGATCGATCGATCTATCGGATCGATATTTAAAAAAAAAAAATTAAAATTTTTTTATTTATTTTATTTTCAGGGTTCGTCTTATTAGTTTCACTGTGCCTTCTTCTCATCGGAGTTTTAATAGTCATATTCTTCGGATCTTTATTTAATTTAATATTGGATAAGGTGAGTTTATCATCATTATTATCATTATCATTATCATTATTATTATTATCATTATTATTATTTTTTCTTCCTTCGAATGCGTCATCACACGCGTATATTTGTTCGGCTCATTAAGTGTTGGAGAATACTAAAAATGTTTGTTTATTAATTTTTTTTTTTTTTTCCGCGAAAACAGCGAGTTTAATACCTGAATCAGGTACTCACTCTTTCGCTGGAGAGTGAGAAAGAGAGAGAGAGAGAGAAAAGGTGTAATATTTACGCAAAAGATTATAACGAAAAAAAAAAAACTTTTTTTATTGGCTTTTTTTATTTATTTGCGGGGTTAAAGTTTAAGGTACGGAGGCTGGGACATTTTAAAAAAAAAAAAAAAAATCTCACTACTCGTTGAGATTTCATCATAAAAAAAAAAAAAAATTTATAATTTTTATTTATTAATAACTAAATAATAATAATAATAATAAAAACGACAGAGACGAAATTCAGGTCTGATCGAATCGAATAAAAACTTTTTGTTTAAATAATTATTTTTGTGCGGTTTGAAAATGGAGAAAAAACGGTTGAATATTTATTTAAACAATTATTACTGCCACGACTTTTGTGTATATAAATAATAATAATAATAATAATAAATTTGACACAGTTTAAAATTGGGTAATTTTATTATATTCATGTTGGCAGTGCCAAAAGTTACGAACGATCTCGGTTGAAAAATTTATAAATGTCGTGTCGTGTCGTAAAAAAAAAAAATTTTTTTTAAATATATTTAAAATACTAGAGTAAACCGTTTTAGGTTATTATTATTATTATTATTACTATTCAGGTACGGGTAACGTTAAAATTTTCGTTATTTATTAAATAAATAAATAAATGCACGACGGTGGCGACGATGGCGGTGGAAATTTGAAATTTTCTTTTAAAAAAAAATAATGTGCCATTTATTATTATTATTATTATTATTATTATTATTAATATTATTATTATTATTATTATTATTATTATTATTTGAAATTTTATTTTAGTATATGCGGGTAAACGGATAATTTAAAAAAAGATATAATAATAATAATTTTGAACTTTAAACTCGGTTCGCGTTTTTTAAATGAAAGATTTCATTAAAAAATATTCTAGTTTGCTTCTTTCTTAAAAATTTCACGTTCTACTATTTCGATTTAAATCTTAATAGTTAAAATGACGAGTTGATTTCGTTGTGTTGGTAACACTGTTTTTAGAAATTTAAATTTAAATTTTACCGCGCAATCGATATCTAAATTTAATTTTTTTTTTTTCCCCCTAAATTTCAACATTTAATTGAATCCGATTTGGTTTTTCTTTTTCAATCAGTTAAGATCATTTTAATTACAAGATATTATCATTATTATTATCATTATTATCATTATCATTATTGTTAAATTTTTCTTAGTGACGTCATCGGTAATTTTATTTAAAATAATCTCGTAATTCGAAAGTTAATAAAAAAAAAATGTCTCCATACTCACGTTGGGCGTAAAAAAAAAAAAAAAAAAAAAATTCTTTACGTAATTAAAATTAATAATAATAATAATAATAATAATAATAATAGTGACGACACGATATCGTAACGATGAATATAATAATAATAATAATAATAAATATCGAATCGAATCGAATCGAATCGTAGAAAATTTGTTATTATCGATTTTTTTTTTTTTTTTACAACATGAAAACATTCGTCCTTGTTTGTTTGTCTTTTCTCTCTCTCTCTCTCTCTCTCTCTCTCTCTTCCAAAATGAAAATTCGTTTATTATTTTTGATTAACGACCTTTAAAATAATAATATTTTATTTGAATACAAAATACAAAAAGTCATTAATAAACAAACAAACAACAAACGAAACAAACAAAACAAATTTATATATTGTTAATTATTACGTTACGACTACAAACAGATTTTTCGTTTGTTTTCTTATTTAAAAAAAAAAAATTGTTGGATTAATAAATATGGCGGAGCCGCGCCTTTAGAAACAAATTAAGTTTGTTGTTTGTTGGACGATAACGAAAAAAACAATCGAACAATCGGTTGTTATTAGGCGGGGCACTTTTAATTATTTTTTTTTTTACATGATAATTAAGATGGCGTCCACGAAAAAAAATTAATTGGGAATTATAATGGTATAGTAGTCAAATTTGTTTGTTGTTTGTTTGTTTGTCGTTCAACCCCTGAAAATAAAATTAAAAATTAATTACGAGTGTGAAAAATTTCTGTTTGTTAAGAGGGACGTTGGGGGGGGGGGAAGGAAACCTTGACACACATGCTAGAGTCCATTTAGTGAAATCGTTTAATTAAACATCGGGAACGTTGGAAAGAAAATTTGGAATAATTTGTTTGTTTGTTTGTTTGCTTTTTTCATTTCGTGTCGACCTTCGAATTGAATTTTTTACACGCAAGGCGGGGGGGGAGGGGACGATTTACCTTCTTAAAAGGTACGAAAGGATATTTTAAAAAGAAGGTATCGATTCATCCTTGACGAATGAAAAGTAAAACGTATGAAATTCTCATACGAGTAACGAAAGATAATTTAATATATATATAAAATAATGATGATGATGATAATGATAATGATAAGAAAAAAGAGTCATATCACTCAGTCAGGTGATTCGTCGTCGTCAGGTATCAACCGTATCAACGTAATAATTTTAAGGTTTAGCAATTATTTTTATAAAAAAAATGCAATTACGTTAAATGGAATGCACTTAAAGAAGAGAAATTTTATATCGTATATAAAAAAAAAAAAAAAAAACTGTAAATCAGCTTTCACTTGAATTATTTCAACAACAACAAACAACAAACAACAACCGTCACAAAGTACGAATTATTATTATTATTATTATTATCGAAGAAAATTCTTTTTAAAAATAAAATTAAATACGATATTATTAAACGTTTTAATTATCGATTGATCATTCCATTTTCGCGTGTATATTTTTATCGGGGAGAAAGAGGGGAAGAGGGGAGGGAAAGGGAGGGTAGGGGAAATGATAATAATAATAATAATAATTAACGATTTCACATGTTTTTAATTTCAGGAAATAGCATTAAGAAATGGATCCGTGACGTTTAAATGGTGGAAACTTCCACCGGTTAATCCAATGATAAAAGTTTACATTTACAATGTAACGAACGCGGATGCATTTTTAAACAATGGAGAGAAACCAATGTTGGACGAATTGGGACCTTTTACGTATTTGTAAGTTTATTATTATTATTATTATTATTTGGATGCTTGCTTGCTTTTATTATTTACGATGAAAGTGGAAGGAGAAGAAGAAGAAGAACTCGATTCGAAATTGATACGTCGGTTTTTTCTTTTTGCTTGTCGTTGTCTGCTTCCACGATCGAAACGAAAAAACTTTTTATCCTTATTAAGTTTCGTAATAGAATTTAAAACTCGCCATTTTTGGTTATGAATTGCCCGTTTTTTCACCGCCCTCTCGATAACGTTATCGAATGATACTTGTCGTGGTACCCGAGTCGAAGATAGTTTCATGTATTTTAAGGTACGAAATGCGTGAATGTCGAAATGATACGAAACGAAAGAATACGTCTCAGTATATTAGTCCTCCATTTTTATTATGATACCTGCTTGCTACCTACTAATTGATACCCATAAAAATTATATTAAAAAAAAAAAGAAAAAATGACGAAATTAACTTTCTTTGTTCGATAAATGTTTGAATTAATCAATTACCCGCGTACCCGTGTATTATTATTATTATTATTATTATTATTATTATTATTATTATTTGCAAATCCAACCTGAGCGTAATTAATCGTTTGAAACATTAATAATAATAATGATGATTACAATTATTTAAAGTCCAAAAGTTAAATTTCCAGTCATTTTTTTTACGAACATATTACTTTATTCAGGTATACTTTTGACGTCTCTCTCTCTCTCTCTCTCTCTCTCTCACGTACCTTATATTTTTTCGTCAATGTACGACGGATTAGGTACGATTTTGGATCTTATCCATTTATTTATTATTTCGTTTACGAGGATTAATACTTGAAAACCTAATTATTTAAACGAAAAAAATGGTGGAATCATCTTTAACCTTAAAAACTATTTAGGTTCGTGAAAAATGGCCGAGAGGTCATAGAGGAATTACGTAACACCTCGATGGATTTTATTCCAATGTCATAAACGCTCATAATAATAATAATAATAATAAGACTCGAAAGAAAGAATGATGATGTAATAACAAACGTGATGTCCGAACAATCATTGTTGAGCCGTTTGTTGTTTGTTGTTGTTGTTTCCTCACTTGGACGCAACCTGGTTGTCATCGCGAAATTCGTTACGTAAAAATTTTTTTTGCCGATGGCATTCGGTCACGTTAACGCCGTTCACCTCGTTTTTCTTTTCATTTTTTTTTAATGATGGAAAAAGGATGAAAATTTTTCAACGATTCCCCCCCCCCCAAAATTTTGATTTTTTTAAAGTAAAAATTTTAACTCGTTATGTAAAACATGTCGCCTATTTTTAAAACGAAAGTTTTCCTCTCTAATATTTTAAGTTAAGGTCGTCGGTCACTTTTTTTTTTTTTTTGACAGGAAGACGATGGTGAATGTTTAAAAAAAAAACTCGCGGCCATTTTTATTAATTCCAACAGATTAATTAATTTTCTTTTTTTTTTTTAATTGAGGGTATCGTTAAATTTCGAGACGGAAAAGTCACGCGATCGATACTTATTACGTAATAAATAACATTGTTATAAACCGTTTGGGGAGGTGGGGGGGGTAATAATAATAAATCCTGACGGTTAAAATGGCGTCGAGACGATATTTTTACGTTTGTCAAAACGATTCGTAAATTGTATTCTTTTAATATACAATAAAATCACAACGGTCGAAAGTCAAGGATTTTTCACTCCTGGAATATTCCAGACTGGATTTCAAACTGGAAAATTTTTTATTTATTTATATAAAGACGTAAATAAAATGCAAAAATTGCTTTTTTCCTGCGAAATAAATGACGTTTATTTATTTATATTTCGTTTCCAACCGCGATCGAATTAATAATAATAATAATAATAATAATGGTAGAAATTAACTAAACGGTAGCAAAAAAATAAAATGGCGAAAAATTAGTCGACCGTTGATATTAAACAATTAAAATTAATAATTTTCGTATTGAAAACCGCGGGCAATCGAGCCTAACACCCTGTCTAATTCCACGACTTTTTTTTTTAACGGTTAATTCGCGATTTGAGTAACGAAGTTGTTGTTTGCGCGCCTTTTTTCGTTTTTTAAACGCGGACGTTGAATAACGTAAATACTGGAAAAACTTACGTAATCAACAATGGCGACGGTTATGATAATGATGATGATGATGTTGATTGTGTGTTTTTTTTTCTCTTCTTAATTGCTTTTGATCGGAAGACGTTGTGGTTGTTGTTGTTGTTGTCGTCGTGTTGTTTTTACCCTTTACTCGAACAAGAAAAAAATTTATTTTGCCAAGAAAAATTTTCCGATGGCAAAATTACGTAATCATACGTTTTATATGACGAATCATTATTATTATTATTTTTATTAATAATAAAAAGCGATAATAAATCGATATTCGTAACCAAAAGATTTACTAATAACGGCGTTTAATCTTTAATATTATTAAATAATAATAATAATAATAATGATATTAAAATAACGCCATAAATTAACCTACATATTAATAAACGCATTTTCACCCTTTTTAGGAAATCAGGTACAGCTAGTTTTCGAAACCTTTTGAAAAATTTTTTATGGCGTGAATCATTTTTTTCCAAGATTGATAGAAAGAGAGAGAGAGAGAGAGAGAGAGGGGGGGGAGAGCTTTTTAATTGATGGAGAGGACATTGCGTTGCTTAATTTTTTTTTTTGTTGATAAGAAATTACGTAATGAAATTATCAATTAATTCGCGCGTGCGCATTTGTTACTTAATAATCTTATTGATGGAAGCAAAAACCTGACCGATAGCAAAACTGTATCAGGTATAATCAAATAATTAATTTTTTCGTAATTGTGTTGAAGGGAGAGAGAGAGAGAGAGAGAGAGAGAGAGAGAGAGAGAGAGGAAATTTAAAAATAAAAATCTTGTGACGAATTTAAAAAAAAAAAAAAACTTTGTGTCGAAACAAGTGACTCGGAGGAGGGAACTGGGGGCGGAACTAGGGGGAAAGGTGGGCAAGAGGGAAAGTGGGCGAGGGAAAAGGGGGGCAAGAGGAAAAGTGGGCGAGGGGAAAGGGGTAGGAAATAATACATTAAAATCAAATTTTTCAAATCTATGGATCAGGTGAAAAAGTTTTCAAAGTTTTCCTTTCTCTTTCTCTCTTTCTCTCTCTGTCTTTCTCTCTTTCTCTCTTTCTTTTTCTCTTACTCTCTCTCTCTCTCTCTCTCTCTCTCATTTGAGTTATTTCAGTCGAATAATATAAAAAAAAAAAACCTTTTGAAATTGAAAAAAAGTGAAAGTGAGGATTTTTTTTTTTTTTTTTTTAAAAAGAACGTTAATGACCTTCCCTGGATTTTAAAATCCCGTCGTGAATTTCATTATGGCGCCATTTTTTTTTTTTTTTTTCACATGACATCTTCTTCCTTTTCTTTTCTTTTTATTATTATTATTATTATTATTCCCGTTTGTTCGAATAGATTGTTGCGTGATTGTTTTATTGTTTATTGCCCCTTGTGTATCGTAATAAAAAAAAAAAAAAATGAAAATTTTTCATTATTGTTACGTAAGGATAAATAATTAAAAAATTTAAATAATTAATTTTATTCGATTAAAAAAAAAAAAAAAAGGGCGGCTGCCATTTTCATTTAAAATATTAATATTCATATTTTGGAAAACAGAAAAAAAAAAAAACGAAAACGAAAATCACCGGGGGGTAATTGATTGATTGAAAAATAGTAATAATTTTTTTTTCCCGCCATTTCTCTCTCTCTCTCTCCCTCTCTAGTTTTCTCTCTCGTTAAGAAAAATCCAAAAAGTTTTTTTTTATTATTTTCTTGCTTCACGTTTTTTTTTTTTTTTCTCGTCAAACTTTAAAAAAAAAGAATTACGAAATTTTTTTTTTTTTTTTTTAAATTTCGTAGTTTTTGTAATAAAAAAGAAAAAACGTTACGGAAAATGTCATAGCATATAAATACCACCGCCTTGTAAAAATAAAATTATTTACAATTTATTCGAGTTGTTAATCGATCGTTTTCTCTATGAAAATCTCGCTCGCCGCTGATCTGATTTTATTTAATAAAAATAATAATAATAATAATAATAATAAACCATTAACGGATTTAAAATCGTTTAAAATAATTTGTTTTTTATTCGTCCTCGTTTTTTATGTTTTTTTACTCTATGGTTTTTTCGAGTAATTATAAGTAACGTTTTATTACGTTCAATCAAAGTCTCAATTTATTTTATCCATTTTGAAATTAATTCTCTCTCTCTCTCTCTCTCTCTCTCTCTCTCTCTCTCTCTCTCTCTCTCTCTCTCTCTCTCTCTCTCTATCTCTCTTTCTCCTTTTACAGTTTTATGAGTAAAAAAAAAAAAACCGTCAGTCATGATGTTCGTTCGTTTGTTTTCATTTTTTATTTTCCAGTATTTTAATAACAAGAAGTTTGTCCAGATAGTTATGTAATTACAATAACAAAAAAAAAAAAAAAGAAAAAAACGCTTTCACTTTACGTATTTAGTTATATATACCTCTTTAATAAAATAAATTTTTTTTCTATTTATTTATTTAACGTATGAAATCGATTAATTTAAAAAAAAAAAAAACGTGTCAGCAGATGATTCGTGTCAGCTGTATTGATTTTTGTATTTTTGCGACAAGTTTAAAATTAATTCGATGAAAGTTGATGTAATTAATCAATTTTATTCGTTATTTTCACTTTTTTTTTTTTTTTTTAATTTGCCAACTTTTAAAATTTTCGTGGAAGAAGAAGAAGAAGAAGAAGAAGAATTCATATATTTTATTGACACGTTATTTTTTGGTTGAAATTATGGTTTTTTTTTAATTAATTTTCTATTCGAAAAGTATTTATAAATAGGTAATTGGAATAAGGCACACACCTACTAGGGTGAAAGTTAACGTGTCAATAGATTTCCTCGTTGTTGCCAAATGAGTGGAAGATTTTTTTTGGCAAATGTCGCGAGAGCAGCGTGAAAAAAGTAGAACTCTCGACGAAAATAAAATAAAAATGATTGATTTTTATCTTCATTTTTTTTTTGTTTCAGGCAAACGTGGGAAAAAGTTAACGTTAAATTTAATTCTAACGGTACGATAAGTTACCAATTGAAAAAAGTTTTTATATTCGATCCGGAAAATTCTGTCGGTTCGGAAGATGACATGGTCGTTATACCAAATATTCCCATGCTCGTAAGTGTAAAAATTTTATTTGAAAAAAAAAAAAAAAATGGCGGATTTTGATTTAATAATACTTCAAATGAAACCTTCCTTCCTTCCTTCTTGTTCACCTTGAAAACAATATTATGTTTTATGTTTGTTTTTGATTGCAAAGGTTGGAAGTGAGAAGAAGAAGAAGAAGTTCAACAACCGATTTAAATTTTTATTTTGTGTATCACTTACAGAGCGCAACATCTCAGAGTAAACACGCGGCGAGATTTTTGCGGTTGGCAATGGCATCAATTATGGACATACTTAAAATCAAACCGTTTGTTGAAGTATCCGTTGGACAATTGCTTTGGGGATACGAGGATCCCTTGTTAAAGCTTGCCAAAGACGTTGTTCCGAAAGAACAAAAATTACCCTACGAAGAATTCGGTTTAATGTATGGCGTAAGTGTGCTATTGATAATTTACGTGGATTAAATCGAACGTACGACAGAAACTCATAATTTTTTTATTTTATAGAAAAATGGAACTGCGAAAGACATAATAACCGTTTTCAGCGGTGCCGGAGATATAACAAGACTGAATTTGATAGAAAGATTTAACGGTTTTACTCATTTGCCACATTGGAAAACGGAAGCGTGTAATCGATTGAACGGTTCCGACGGTTCTCTGTTTCCGCCTCACATAACCATGAACACGACTTTACACGTTTACGAAAAGGATTTGTGTCGTTTGCTACCATTAATGTAAGTTTTTGACATCATCCCCCTTCATTCAATCCGAAAAAAAAAAGAAAAAACTGTTGAGTCAATCAACAACAAAGAAGATGAAGGAAATCTCAATAAGTAAACAGTTACTCGACCAAAAATAAGTAGCAGAAGATAAAAATAAATGAAAAACTGACACCTATCGGATATATTTATAATTAATATTTTCGTACCTTAATGCTCTCGAGGGCATGAGGGAATTTTCACTTTTACAATTTTTTGAAAAAGTGGGTGCGGAGTAGCGGTAGTTATAATTTTATATTGCATAATTCAATGTATACACAAATCATTTATTCGTGTCACTAGAAAACAAGGTCAAATGTGTGGTGGTGGTGGTGACACGTTTCGCAGTCCAAAATCCGTTTGTGATTTTAAAACGATTGGGATTTTTTTTTTTCAGATTCGAAAAAGAAGTTGAAACGAGCGGAGGAGTTCCAGGATACAGATTCACTCCACCGCCTGATGCATTTGCATCCAGAGAAAAAAATCCAGAAAATGATTGTTATTGTCCTGCGGGACCACCATGCGCTCCTCACGGTTTATTTAACGTTTCCCTTTGTCAATACGGTAAGACTCATTATTCAAAATATTTTTTTTTTTTTTTTTTTTTTTTTAAATTTTGTAACGGAAAATGATTGTTTTTTTCTCCCCTCCCCTCCCACCTCCCCCCTCACAGATTCTCCCATTCTCGTGTCTTTCCCACATTTTTACATGGCGGATCCAAAATTGAGAGAAGCCGTCGAAGGTATAAGTCCACCAGAACCGGAAAAACATCAATTATACATAGACGTTCAACCGGTGAGTATCCCTATCCCGTAAATAAAATGTCTTCTGCTAGATTTAAATTATTTTTAACGGTTTTTTATGATTTTTAGGTTATGGGCGTGGCATTAAGAGCGAGAGCTAGAATTCAAATCAATTTGGCCGTAAGTCAAGTTGTAGACATTAAACAAGTCGCCACGTTTCCAGATATTGTTTTCCCAATAATGTGGTTCGAAGATGTGAGTTTTATCTCTTTCTCTCTCACCGGAAATGAATCTTTACGGTTTCCGGTTTGATAATTTTTAATTATATTTTATAGGGTATCGACGAATTGCCAAAAGAAGTGACGGATTTATTGAGTCTTGCGACGAAAGCTCCACCGATGGCAAAATCGGCCATAAGTTATACATTATTCGTTATCGGAGCCATTCTTTTCATATTAAGTTTAACATGCATAATAAGATCGAGTTCGAGACAAGAAAGTCTCAATTTGGAAGGTACGAGTCATTACGTGAAACCTGAAAAAACGAAAAATGGTCACTCGAACGGTATAAATCCAGCATTTGAAAGTTCAAACATGAATATAAATTCAACTTAGTCTTGGTCTTTTTTTTCCGGAATAATAAAATATATTTTACATAATAATTAATAAGAAATATGGAGACATGATAGTTTCGCGTTCGTTTTTAATTTTTTTTTTTTTTTTAATTTTTCTTCTTCTTGTTGTTGTGAATGCGATAAACAAACATTTTTTTTTTTTTTTTTTTTTTTTTTTTACAAAGTTGGTAGGAAAAAAATAATTCTCGTACCCCAAATGAATGAGTGTGAGAGAGAGAGAGAGAGAGAGATGATGATATTGTGCCTTTATTACTACATAATTGTTTAAATTTACCAAAAAAAAAAAAAAAAAACGAAAAAAAAACGATAAAGAGGGGCCTTAAAAACTTACTTGAAAACTTTTTTTTTTTTAAATTAAATATTTTTTTAAGCAATATGTATATGTAATAAAAAAAAATAAATATACTCGATAAATAATAGATGATTCGTTCATTATTACAATATTGTTAATAATAATAATAATAATAATAAATTTTTAATAAAAGAAAATTCTTATAAAAAAAAAAAAAAACTTCGGCATAACGTATTCCGCGCGGAATTCAATTTTTAAAAAAAAAACCGTTAAATTAAAAAAAATTAGTTTCAATATTATCCGATAGGCGGCTCTGTTTTTGTGCGCGTTTTCAAAATGGCGTCGCGTATCAAACAGGTGTTTTTTTTTTATTCGTTTGAAAAATATGAAAAAAGTTATTAATAATTATTTATAAAAATCAAATGAATTAATTAATTAATTATTTATGTTAATTTTTATTTATAAATGTGTCAAATGTTTATTTTAATTCGTTTTAAATTAAAAACAGGATTACGACAAAAAGAAAAATGCTTGAAAAATTTCGTTTTTTTTGTCAAGTCTCTTGGAAAAATGTGTGAGTTTTAATTAATTATTATTATTATTACTATTACTTTTTTTCTAATTTAAGTATTCAATTTATTTTATGTTATGTTTGTTAATGACAACTTGTTTTTCTTTCTTTCTATAAAACTTTTCAAAAAAAAGTTAGAAGAATACATTGTAATTTATATATATATATTAATAGTATGTGATAAGTTTTTTTGTCAAATGCATGAATGAATAAAGATGATGAAAGGAAAAGGCTGAGAAAATTTATATATATATGCGTAATTTAAATAATTCGAGGGGGAAAAGTACATTTATTCTAAACTTATTCTATAAAAATAAATTTTCAAATTAAATAACAAATTTTCAATTGAAAAAAAAACTATCTGTCTGTCTGTCTGTGGGTTACATCCACCATAACATTCCATATAAAATTTATTATTATTATTATTTATTATTATTATTATTATTATAATTTATAAATACGTATATATGTATGTATATATATGTAGTTGTATTGTAACACATTCATTTGACAATCATTTATTTTTTTAAACAAATCATTCCAAATTATTATTATTATTATTATTATTATTATTATTATTATTATTTATAATAAGAAATTTCATTAATAAATTTCAAATAACATAAAAAAATTTAAAAAATTGAAAAAATGATGGTTTTTTTTTTTTATAAAAGAAAACTATTTATTGATAAATTTAATTTTTTTTTAAAGGGAAAAATTCAAGTCTTCCAATAAAAAAGCCATCTTTTCCCTTTTTGCTCAATTTCTTTTAACAATCAATCAATAATATACATTATAAAATATTGATTTATAATAATAATAATAATAAGATATTATGATATTTTTTAAATACTGTGATTGATTGGTTTTTTTTTTTTTTTGTAATTTTGTGTTGTTAAAACAGATCAAATAATAAAAGAAATTTTTTCGATCTGATTATTATTATTATCATTATCATTATTATATTATATGTTTTCATTAAATTGATTATTTTTAATAAATTAATAAATAGATTTTTAGTTTATTATGTAGCTTTAAGTGTTCATTTACATACATATTATGTAAAATGTTTTAGTTAATGCCTTAATGATGGAGTGTTTGTTACAAAATCATCCTGTTGAGTTTGTTGTGTTATACATGCAGACACATCAGCACACAAACACACACACACACACATCAGCACACACACCAGCAAACCCTACACATCCACACACACACCATCACACCCCTACACACACACACACTTTCTCTCACACACACACTAACACCCTCCCAGACACCCACCCACCCTCTCACACACACACATACTCTCTCAGACACACACGCACACGCACGCACACCCTTACACACCCCACACACACACACCCCCTCCCAGACACACCCACCCACTCACTCACACACCCTCCCAGACACCCACCCACAGCAGCACACCCCCTCCCAGGCACACACACACCATCACACCCCTACACGCATACACCCTCACATACACACACCCCCATACACAATTATTTTTAATTTTTCAAATCAGTTCACAATTCAGTTAACATTACAAAACAATTTTTTTTGTGTTTGTTTGTAGTAACAAACAGGAAATTGTCTTTTAAAATCGATTTCATCAATAATTTTTGCATTACATTATAGGTTTAAACAAACGTTAGGTTTGTTAAATTAGGTTTATTCTTATTGTAAAAAATTTTTAAGGTATATTATGATGACTTAATGATAATTAATTACAAGTTAAACAAACTTATATGCATAACGTTACAAAAATGACGTCAAAATTATTAAAAAAGTTTTTTAATAATTCATATAGGAGTGTATTTCTATGAAGTTAATTTAAGTCAATGAAAATATCATTTGTGTGCGCGTGTGCGTGCGTGCGTGCGTGCGTGTGTGTGTGTGTGTGTGTGTCATAAGTCATGTAATAACAAAATATTGTGAAATTTAAGTAACGAAAATTCAGTTAAAGGCTAAAGATGACTAAAGGTAAATTCAAGGTTTAGTTTAGTTATGCTCGAGGATATGTTTTCTAAAAACAAATGATAAACGATTATGCCTAAAGGGTAATAATAATAATTATTATTATTAAAAATGGATGATTTTTTCTCTTAATAAGTTTCTCTTTTAATTAATTAATTAATTAATAAAAACTCAACGAAAAAAAAATAGAGAAAATAAAATAAATTTATTCATATCGTGTTTAAAAGGTTTCGTTTATCGTAAAGGAAATTGATATATCTTCCATCTTTTTTTAACGGATATCGAAGACATATTTTATTCGTCTGCACGCATTTTAATCGAAATCTGTTTCCGGTTTTTCTCTTCTAAAATTCATTCACGCGAAATTCATAAAAAAAATTTTTTTTTTTTTTTTTTTTTTTTTGTTTTGATTAATTGATTTTTTTTTATTGGAAATTTATTTAAAATTTTTTTATTACCTAACCGGAAACTCATCCGAAATAAATCAATTTAAATATTTTACTCGTTTATTATTATTATTATTATTATTATTATCATTTTCGTACGCGATGAGTTTCATGTACTCGTCGAATAGTTAGTTATTTAATATTTATTCCAGGTTTTCTTTCTTTAAGAATAAATTTTCGAATATGAATGATACTTTTTTATAAATAATTATTATTATTATTATTACTATAAGAACGAAAAAAATTATACCCGAAAAAAAAAAAAACTATGTAACGTTCAGGGACGTAACTAGTATTAATATATTAAAAAACCCTTAACACGTATATTTAAATTATGAATGATGTCAAGTTTAACAACGTTAATGGGTTATCATTATTATTATCATTATCATTATCATTATTAAAAAGGGTTAAAAATTCGAATGACTTGCAAAATGTATTTTTTTTGTTTTTTTTGCATTATCATTATTATCGCGTGTGGTGATGGTAGTAGTGGCGGTGGTGGTGGTGATGGTGGCAGTCATTTTACATGACGATTTACGCATTTTTTTTTTTCTTATTCGGTTACGTTAATTAATTCCGTTAACCCCCCCTCCGCCCCCCAGCCCACGCCCCCACGCAATATCTCACACGTGTAAAAAAAAAAAAAATGGAAAGGGAAATGAAATTTATAATCGATGATAAATATTTATTAGGGTCACACATTTTTTTGCTGTCGAAAAATTTTCGTGTTTTTTTGTCGCGACATGGTAATTAGTAACCGGAAACGTGACATTATTATTCGAACGATTTGATTTCCGGGTGTTATTGTTTCACACCCCATCGGAAAAAAAAAACTAATTAATTTTAACTCTCACTCTCTCTCTCACTCTCTCTCTCTCTCTCTCTCTTTCTCTCTCTCTCACTCTCTCTGTCTCTCGCTTTCTCTCTCTCTCTCTCTCTCTCTCTCTCTCTTTCTCTCTCTCTCACCGTAATTGTGACAGTCCCAAAAAGATGTGTGTGCACAATAAGAAGGTCAAATCACACATCCAAGGAAGAAGGCTTTGAATAGAAAGAAAAAAAATTATTTTTAATTACTCACTCAAATTGATTATATAAATAACTCTATGATTTATGAATAAGAAATATTTCCATAGAGTATATATTAATTTTTCCATAGAGTTACAATGTCATTTTTTTTTTTTAATTAATGAGTTAACAAACAAACAAACAAACAAACAAACAAATGTTTGCTCTTAATGAGATTTGACAACGGATCAAATATTTTTTTTTATTTTTTTTTATTTCCTGTTTTACAAAACCTTAGCAGACGTTTTTAACGTTTTCCCTTTTTTACTCTATGCTTTCCTCCTCCATCTTAAATTTTTCAAGGGTGATTATTTTTTAGGTCATTCAACTCTCGTTTTCTTTATCTTCCAGGATATTCCAGAGGCGTAAGATAATTTTAATGCTATGACGCACGTGACGTACGATCCTATTAATAATTTAAATTTTTTGTTCGTTTCGAGAAAGTTTTATTAATTATTATTATCGATTTATTCGGTATACCATTGATTTTTTTTAATCATCATTGCAAAAACTGGAAATTTTCCTTTGAAATTAAAAAAAAAACATGAGTGAAATTTATTTATTTAAAATTAGATCGTTATAATTTTTTTTACTGGTTTTTAAATGACCTGGTATGAAGAAAA